TTTTTTTTTTTTTTTTTTTGCGTGCCTTTTTTTCAAAATTTTAAATAATCTCTTATTTGAATTAAGGAATGACATCTTTCTAGATTGGAAGAAGTTTGAGAAGATGTAGACTTTGCCTTCTTTTGAAAGGATAACGAGAGTTCAAAGTCTAGTAGGCCTCCTTAGTATAGGGGCACACGATTCTTGTACTTTAGAATGTTCTCCTTTCTCAAAAATCTTTGTATACTATGTGTCTTCCATGTCTAATGAATGTGTATGCTAAACTGAAAGATGCATGATAGTTGTTTTCTACCTAAATTTTATCATGTTTTTGACTAAGGATTATGATGCATGATTTTTGCTATATTTTTTGTTTTTGTTTTTTTTTTAATAAACTACCCTATATGATGCTTTAGAGTTAGGATATACAGAAGGGAGTTAAAATTTTTATCATATTTTTTTTATTAATATCTATTTGTTTATACTTTTTATCCATTTGAAATAAATAAGCACAAACAAATGCAACACACATATGCTCAAACAAATGTGCACCCACGAATAGTCATGTTTAAATCCTTGGTCTGTGGTCCCTGCAAGAAAAGTGCATTGTATTGGACGGTTCTAGTCTCACCGGTCTTAAGGTCCCCAAGGTGCCCCCATTATAGGGATCCAGTATCTCTGTCGCCGTCACCTGGCAAACTCTAAGGTCTGTCACAGTATTTAAGGCTAGAGTAACCGGTTATCACCTTGAGTGTGATTTCCGACAAGGCTCGCAGGCTCTAAGGCCAAACTTGCCCCGGTCGTACGTCAACCACTCCCTATGTTTAATACCCTCATGCCCCCGGGTGTAGGGGGAACTGTTGTGTGCAAAGGTTTGTGTACAATTTTTATTCCAAACATGTGCGGAATTTAAATAAACAAACAGATACCAAAGATAAATAAAGAAAACAAACAAGGTAAAGGGGAAAAATATTTAAATTATTTATTCTTATTTTATTAACTTCATCATTTATTTGGGCCTGACCCTCTTAAAACGTCCCCAGTGGAGTCGCCATCTATCGCAACCCAGATTTTTTCGATCTCGCGACTAATGGTTTAGACATCCTTTTAAAAGTCTCATCAATTAAGGAATGCCCGGACACCAGACTAATCCTTAATTAATGGTTTTGAAAGATGAGTTCATGGAGTCGCCACCAATATTTTACTCAAAACATTGGAAAAAGAAAAGGTTTTTAAAAGTCCAATAATGGCCTTGATAACCAGAATTGGGTTCGGGGGTCGGTTACGTGCAGGGAAGGTATTAAGCACCCCTACAACGCCCTTAATTGGTACCCTATGATGAAGTTAACATTATAAATGATAATAATATAAATATTAAATCCCCTTTTATTAGTAATTATTTACATGCTTGAAATTTAAATTATACAATTAATCCTAAAATGTCTACATGATTATTTTTATTATAAATAATATTTATTAAAAATAGGAAATAAAAGAGAGAGAAGAAAATTAGCTGAAATACCTCTTGAACGAGCTCTATTAATCTTCAAAGATGGAGATTTGGGTGCTTTTTGGCAACCCTTCACACTACAATGCCTCACAAAAATCTCAAGAAATACAAAGAGAGGGGGAGAGAGAAAAAGAGAGAAATTTCGTGCTCTATGGAGCTCTGGATGAAATTTTTGGGGGTCCGGAGAAATGAGCCCCACCTGTCTATTTATAGACTTCAGAAGGGGTCCAGAACGGCCCGTTCCAAAATCGGAACGACCGTTCTGGATATGGCTGTTGTGTGTTAATTTGGACCCTAGAACGGCCCGTTCTGAAATTAGAACGGCCCGTTCCGGGGAACCAGAACGGCCCGTTCTGATTTCAGAACGGCCCGTTCCAGAGATAAAATTAACACACCTTTTGATAAACTGGAACGGCCCGTTCCAGTTAGAGTTTTAACCCTCTACTGAAACGTTTGGAACGACCTGTTCCAATATTGGAACGGCCCGTTCCCATGTTGGAACGGCCCGTTCCAATTTAGGAACGGCCCGTTCCAAATTAGGGTTATTGGCCTTTTTAAAAACTTGGAACGGCCCGTTCCAAATTGGGAACGGCCCGTTCCAGTTTTTTTGGAATAGCCCGTTCCAGTCTTCTAAAAATCAGCCTGTTTGGGCTTTTGGGCCCTCTAAAGTCCTGTCCTGTTGCTTGCATGCTTGGGGAGCTCCAATTCTTTGATGATAGACGTTCATTTCATGATAGGAGCCAGCCCACAAAAAGGGGAATTCTGGAACTGGATACTCAAAATGCAATTCTGGCTCAGAATAAGCTTCTTTCTCAGCAAATGGAGGAGTTAAAGAAACAGATGTCCAAACTTCAAGTGGGATCATCTTCACGCCCTCAACAGGTAATGAGATGTGATTTTTGTGCAGGCGATCATCCAAATGGACATTGCACCATGTTTGAATTAGAACAGGAGGAAGAAGTTAATTACATGAACAATCTAGGAAGGCAAGGGAATTTCTCTGGTAATTATAATCAGAATCAAGGCTGGAGAAATAATCAAAATCAGTATTTTGGGTGGAAGCAAGAAGTAGGGCCATCACCAAGGCAACCTCCATAGAAGCCATATCAAAATCAACCTTCTTATCAACAGGATAGGCTATCAAAAATGGAGGAAGCTCTTATACATTTTATGCAGGTTTTCACAACCAATCAGAAAAATACTGAAGCTTCTATCAGAAATCTGGAAGTGCAAATAGGGCAGTTGGCTAAGCAATTGGCAGAGCAGCAAAGCAATAATTTTTCAGCCAAGACACAGGTCAATCCTAAAGAGTATTGTCAGTCAATCACAACTAGGAGAGGCATTGTGATAGGAAAGGGAATTGGTGATAATTTGAAAGAAAATAAAGATGAAGTGGATGAAGAAAAGAGTGAAGTTGAGTTGAAAAGTGAGAGAGAGGTGGAGGTGAATAAAGAGGCAAAAAAAATGAGAAAAATAAAAAAGAGAGTGAAAATGATGGAAGGAAAAATGGAGTTGTGAGGGAGGAGAGTAAGCAAAAAGGGAAAGAAGTTGCTAGGCCTCCTCCTGTGAAGAATCTACCTTACCCACATGCTCCATCAAAGAAAGACAAGGAACGACAGTTTGCAAGGTTCCTTGATATAATCAAGAGGTTACAGATCAACATACCCTTTGCAGAGGCCTTGGAACAGATGCCATCTTATGCAAGATTTATGAAGGAGCTTCTGACAAAGAAGAGAAAATTGAGTGAAGATGGAATAGTGGAATTAGAGGCAGGTTGCAGTGCTATAATTCAGAAATCACTTCCACAAAAATCTAGAGACCCAGGGAGTTTCACTTTGCCAATCACCATTGGTAATCTTTCTGTGGGCAAGGCATTACTGGATTTAGGGTCTAGTATCAACCTTATGCCCTTATCTATGTTACAGAGGATAGGTGATGTGGAGGTGAAACCTACTAAGATGACTCTGCAGCTGGCTGACAGATCTATAAAGTATCCTCATGGTATTGTTGAAGATCTCTTGGTTAAGGTTGATAAATTTTTCTTTCCAGTTGATTTTGTTGTCATGGACATGGAAGAGGATTCTGAGGTTCCTCTCATTTTGGGTCGGCCATTCATGAAGACAGCTAAGGTCATTATAGATGTTGATGATGGAAAACTCAAGGTCAGGGTGCACGGTGATGAGGTGAATTTTAATATTTTTGAAGCTATGAAACACCCAAATGACAAGAAAGATTGTTTTAGAGTAGATGTGATGGATGAAGTGTGTTTGGAAGCTGAAAGAAAATTCTCATTAGCCACACCATTAGAGAAGTCATTAAATTTTGATATGAAAACTGCAAGTGAAAAGAGGAAACTTCAATTACATGAACTTGAATAAATGCGTTTGCAGGCTTATGAATCCTAAAAAATTTACAAGAGTAAGGTGAAGTCCTACCACGACAAGAAAATTGTGCAGAGAAAGTTCCAACCAGGCCAACAAGCATTATTGTTAAATTCCAGGCTGAGATTATTCCCTGGAAAGTTCAAGTCCAAATGGTCAGACCCCTTTGTGATTAAATCAGCTATACCTCCTGGGGCAGTGGAGTTGGAAGAACCAAATTCTAGAAGATCTGGGATGATGAATGGTCAGAGAATTATGCCACATCTGGGTGGTGAGGTTGAGAAAATTACCACTGTCATTCATCTGAATGATCCATGACTGAGTGAAGTGTCAAGCTAATGACAAAAAAAAAGCGCTTACTGGGAGGCAACCCAGCCATTTTGGTTTGAATTTTCATTTTCATTTTAGTTTAATCCTTTACATATGTAGTTATGCTTTTGAAGAGTTGAGTTTATGATTTGGTGTTTTGATGTTGTATTCTATCAAATGTTTTGTTCCTTCAACATTCTCCTCTCTTATGTTATGTTTTTTATAGTTTATTGAAGGTAACTGGAAGTGGGAGCGTGAAAGGAGAACAAAATGTGCTTTTTCCAGGTAAGTTTACAAAACTGACAAAACGGCTCAGCCGTTTGGCTGCAATGTCTAATTTTTAGATAAATTTTCCTCACAGGGGGTAAACGGCTCAGCCGTTAAAAATGCCTCAGCCGTTCATATCAGCAAAACATTTTGGTTGAGATTTCTGCATCAAACGGCTGAGCGTTTTCAAAGCGCTCAGCGCGTTTTGTTATATTGCTCTCTGCACCCAAACGGCTGAGCGCCTAGAAAGGGCTGAGCGCCTCAAAAAAAAATTTGAGAAAGACCAATCCAAGAACAGAAAAGAAGTTATCCCTTTATTTGTCTTTCATTCCCAACACTTTCAAACCTGGTCTTCTCATTTTCTCTCGCTTTCTTCTCTTCCACACACACCATCATTCTCTTTGATTCAAGGTAAGTTTCAAGCTCTCTCTTTTGATTTCTGTTGTGCCTTCATGCAAATATCTTATTAGTATTTGATGTGTTTTGTGTCCTCTTGTGGTGATGACAAAATTCTTTTTGGGAATCAAATTGATAATCTTTCTGGAATGAGCTCTTTCATGGTTCAAGTTTTCAATGAGCATTGTTTGCTAATTTAGAAATCTACATTGTTGCACAAGTGGTTGTACATTTTTGACTTAAAGTGTGTGCTTCAAGCATGTTCAAGTGAAATTGAAATGAGTCTGAAGTTGTTGATGTCTAGGGCACTTAACCAAATCGTGTGAGTGAGTAGGCCAAATAGTTAAAATTCAATCATTGAGAGTCATCACTGATTCATGCGGTCAGTTTTGTTTGAGTCTCCCATGAGTCACAGTTAAGCTATGCAAGGAATTTACTAAGGCAATTGTTTATTATATTTAGCCAGTAGCCAAAAAGCCAACCCAAGAACTACATCAACCCTTGATCAAACAGTTTTGAGCCTAAATAGAACCCTTAAGCTTACAAAGAAAAACCATGATTGTCCTTGAGCCTTGATGGTAAGAGACATTCTCATGAAACAAGTGGGTTTGAGCCAAGTTGGGGGTAAATGTATGGAGTGTTCATGTGGTTGGAATTGTACAAGCAAAGTGTGTTCTCTGTGTATATACTCTAAAAAAATAAAAAAAATAAAAAAAACACAAAGGGGAAGAAGTTAAAATCAAGGTTCCCTATTACCATTTCATCAATTTGTGTATATTCTGAAAGAGAAGGAACCAGTAAATTCAATCAAAAGAGGGATGAGACATAAAGAGTCAAGAGAATTCAAGCTAGTGCAAGAATTTGGTATTAACCCATATGAGTGAGAATGTCTCTTGTCAATCAAGCCTTTAGATTCCCAAAGAAAAACCAAATCTCTGATAGCCAGGCCACATTACAACCCTCTTTAAGTCTTTAGTGATTCCTGTTTAGTTCTAACATTAGACTTGGGGGGGTTGAATAACAAAGCAGACTTAGCAGGTCTTGGTGCATGAAAAGAGAGAAACACTCACCCTTCACAACATATCATGGAGAGATACACAATTGTGAGGAAAATTTTAGTGCCTTTGGTTGAAGGCAATGGAAGATGAATGGAAATTTCCCTTGAGTATGCTTGATGTTCATGATTTTTGTTATTATAGAACGGGCTGTTCTGGTTCTAGAATGCCAAACACAAACGGTCGATGATTATAGTTCACGGTTGTGAATCGTGCAAGGAAAAAGACCCAAGGTACAAAGCATTTCAAACACTTAATTTTGGTAATATTGTCAATGGGGATTGATAACTTCAATTGCTAAACATTTGGTCTATACAGTGTATCATCAAGGACAATGCAGTGTATCACTAATGATAGCAAGTTTTATTTCATTGTTGGTCAAACTGGAGTGAACCACTTACTACCAAATTGACACTATACAGTCAAGGATGAAACGACATGGTATTTCCCCTTGAAGTCATTGACCGATGTACCCCAACAACAACAACGTGTTCTTGAGGAGGTACAACCTGAAGTACAGGAAGAGGATACACAGGACCAATATTTCACCACACAACCACATGTACAGGTAGATAATGCTGATATTTTATCAGCCATTCAGTGTTATATGGTGGATAAGATGTATTATTGACACCTTCAGCGTTATCCAGGTGATTTCCCTTCTCAATAATTTCTTTGAACTTTTTTAGTACATGTTATGTTATGTTATGAATTTTTGTTTTCAGTCTCTGAACCATATTTCTGTCTTTGAATTTATGATATGTTATGAATTTTTATTTTCAATTTTTGAATCACATTGCGGCATTTTGTTGAACGTACATATGTGGTTGGCGTTTTGGAACGGCGTGTTCTGAATCCAGAACGGTCTGTTCTGGTTTCAGAACGCCCCATTCTACTGCACTCCTGGTGTGTTAATTTTGCATCTGGGGTCATGATCCAGGGACCTGTGATTATGGGCCCACCACACTTCTGTTATGCCTTAAAGGCAAGAACACCAAGAAAGATAGATTTTTCTGTGTTTATTGTGGCTTCCTTGGTCACACCAAAGACAGATGTTTCAAGTTGCACGGTTATCCTATGGGCATAAGAAGCATTCGTCTTCATCTATTCCTAAAAAGGTAAATCAAGTTTTAGACAATACACAGTCCAATCAAGTCATCACTAAAGCACCTACAGTGACTGCTCAATAATATCACCAACTGATTACCTTCTTTCAAGCACAAATGAAAAAGGTTGTCACACCAAAATGTGATCAAATGATAGTTCTAATATTGGCATGGTCTTTTCCAACTCTAATAATTTTTAGAATGGATCTCGATAACTTTGATAACATATTAGAAAAATGGGTTAAGAGTTCAACACAACTTTACAAACTGACTTGTAAAGTGAAGGTTACTCCCCACTTATGTACTTTTCAACTGTCTTATCTCTAATTAATGTGAAACTTGAATTTTGTTTTTTCCAATATGGGGTTTACTAACATATTAGAATTTTGAGTTGGACTCAATTATTTAAGCAATTTTATTATAAGTGATTTTTTTTTGTTTTAAAAAAATAGAGATAGTTGAAGTTATTGGTCAATATTTTATAATATAATTTTTATGTTTTAAAAAGATAAAACTTCCCTACAGTTTTTAAAGTAAATTTATATTTATTTTTTGGTTAAAAACCTATTTTGGTCCCTTATAATAATTGCTTGTTTCAATTTAGTCCCACTTTTATTTTTGGTCTCAATTTGGTCCCTAATAAATTAATTGGTTGCAATGTCGGACTTTTGTCTAAATTATTTAAACGGAGTTAACTGTTAGTCACGTGGATGTCACATAGATGCATAGGTGGATGAAAAATTTCATTAATGCATCTGGAACCAGAACGGGCTGTTCTGGTTCTAGAATGCCAAACACAAACGGTCGATGATTATAGTTCACGGTTGTGAATCGTGCAAGGAAAAAGACCCAAGGTACAAAGCATTTCAAACACTTAATTTTGGTAATATTGTCAATGGGGATTGATAACTTCAATTGCTAAACATTTGGTCTATACAGTGTATCATCAAGGACAATGCAGTGTATCACTAATGATAGCAAGTGGGATGGACCATGAAGATCCCTACACACACTTATCTACTTTTTATGAGCTTATTGGCACTATGGGCGTTCCTGGCGAAGATGAAGAAGCGGTATATCTACGATTATTTCCTTTCTCTTTGACAGGTAAGGCCAAGACATGGCTGCAGGCCCATCCAAATCAGAGCCTGACCAGATGGGAGGATGTAGAGCAGAAGTTCTTGAGAAATTCAAATCAGAGGCCAAGACATGTTATCTATATGAAGTGCAAAGATAATTGAGAAATTCAACAAATATCATTCTCATTGATTTGTTTGTTTAGAGAACATTCTTTGTACAAGATCTTTCGGTGCACTTTGATGATGTTGTTACAGGCTATAGAAGCTCATGCTCGAATGATATCCCTATAGACATGCTTACTCGTTCGTTGATTTGCAATTAATCTTCGTTTCTTCTCAGATTCTCTTCTTGCTATTCCCATCAGAAGTAACCGTCAATAGGATCTTCGGGTTCCCCACTATTTTGGTGATTGCCAAAATTTTCATCTTTATTGACGAGTTTGATGAGTTAGAGAAGAAAGATGCGGTTTGGAGTGATTTGATAATGAATTGGAGGTGTAAGGGTGTTTATTATCAAACTATGTTTTTTTTTAAGCAATTTCTTTTTCTTTTTTTTTTGTTTTTTTTCGCTTCAATCTCCTTTTTTTTTTTTTTTTTTTGCGTGCCTTTTTTTCAAAATTTTAAATAATCTCTTATTTGAATTAAGGAATGACATCTTTCTAGATTGGAAGAAGTTTGAGAAGATGTAGACTTTGCCTTCTTTTGAAAGGATAACGAGAGTTCAAAGTCTAGTAGGCCTCCTTAGTATAGGGGCACACGATTCTTGTACTTTAGAATGTTCTCCTTTCTCAAAAATCTTTGTATACTATGTGTCTTCCATGTCTAATGAATGTGTATGCTAAACTGAAAGATGCATGATAGTTGTTTTCTACCTAAATTTTATCATGTTTTTGACTAAGGATTATGATGCATGATTTTTGCTATATTTTTTGTTTTTGTTTTTTTTTTAATAAACTACCCTATATGATGCTTTAGAGTTAGGATATACAGAAGGGAGTTAAAATTTTTATGATATTTTTTTTATTAATATCTATTTGTTTATACTTTTTATCCATTTGAAATAAATAAGCACAAACAAATGCAACACACATATGCTCAAACAAATG